TACAAAATAAAGCTGTGACTAGGCAGGTAAATGTGGTATAGCAGTAGCATTTAATTCTTGCTATTATTATTTCACCATTATCTTATGTGGTCTCATTTGCCTGTTTGAATCAATGTCCAGCCTTATTTATGTTATGTTGATGTTTTTGAGTTAAGGCTTTTTTTCTTTGTTTACCCTTGCCCACTCTAATATGGACTCCAAACCATGGCTAGTGTTCCTAGATACTATCAGACTTAGTTTTCTGAAGTTATATTGTTATGAGTGGGGAGACTCTAGATGGTTAATACCTTACTTGGTAATTGTATCTCGTCATAAATCTGGATTTTTAAGTAATAGTTTAGTTTTACCAAGTTTGCCTACTTCACTTTGAAAAGAGCAAGTGTTTAAACACTTAGCTTGACAAAACAGTTAGCAAACTTAAGACAATAGTTAACAAAGAGTCACAGGATATAGTTTAAAAGTTGCTTAGTTAAATGACTTAGAATGAGCGTGCAAGAAAATAGAGTTCACTTTTGATGCTAGATTTCTGTAATAGTCAAGGCAAGCAGTTGTTTCCACTTTCTACCAGTGTATTAGAACAAAAGTACCGTCACTGATAAATATCCTATAGTAGCTTAAGGGTCTCACTTGTATGTTGTTTTTTGTGAGGCTTTATAGGTGGATTGTACTCTGCTGCAAATGGTTTCTGCTCTTGTTGCTGAAGAGTACAGGAACTCTGGCCATTAATGCACTGTGTCCTTTTATGTCTTGAAAATGATGCATCAAAAAGATGCGAAATACTACAATGATCAACCAGAAAAAAAATGAAGATTATGTAATGCAAGAAAAAACATTTTGGGATGACTTTATTTTGTCAAATCTTGTGCCAATTTTTTTCCCAGATTTGTGGAAAAGTCTGAATCTGTTTTTGTCATGCCATCTAGTGACAATTTTACTTATGTTAATGTGTTTTAGATCCTTGGGTTGACATGTTATCTGGAAAAGGTGAAATAAAAATATGTGGATTGAAGCATTAAACATCATTATGTACTGAGAGACAAGGTTGTTAGTGTTTCTTTTGATACCGACTTAAACGTTAATACATTGCTTTTTCTGAGTAGACTATCTGAAAAAAAAGCTGTGTTGCTCTTTTTGTGGGTTTAACTGCAGTTTGTGTTTCCTGAAGATTTCTGCTGAATGTGCGTGGCTGTTACAACAAGGTCATACTGGAGCAGGACCTTTGGGACTTGCTGCAGGATGGTCCCCAGTCAGGTGAAGGAAATGAAGGAAGGACTGCACTAACCTCAGTCTCTGTCAAGTCTCTCCAGTCACGTAAACAAAGGAAATTGTATTACTACACGAACACTGCTGAAGTGTAGAGGTCACAAATATGTCTTGATTCAGTTGCACACAACTTCAGGCTTGAAGGAACTTCCGTACAGCCTGTCATCAGTGCTGAATAAAACTGTTTAGCTTGAATTAAGTAATCTGGTTTGCTGTAGACTGAAAGGGACAAGTACCTCTGGAAATTGGTTATGGCATTTCAGCTGTATCAGCTGGAAGTTGCAGTGTTGGGATGAGCAGTTGAAGACGGGAACTTCACTAGGCTTTAACCAAATGTACAAGAATGTGTCTGTCCCTGGTTTTGGGCTCCTTCTGTACTCTGAGGAATGGATAAGCTTTTATCAGTCACTTGATTTTTTTTTTTTTATTTTATTTTTTTTTAATTGACGTAATATATATTATCTGCATACCTATACATGTGTATATTATGTACAGCTTGAAGTCTTCAAGATGCTCTGTATTTTATGTAACATTTCACTCTTAAATCTTTTTCTCTTGAAATTATTTTTTTCTCTTCTTTTTTTCCTTAATCTACAAGTACATTTGAACAGACTACTGGAGAAAAGTGATTATCTTCCAATTATTTTACTTCTGAAATATTTTATGTCTTGGTAGGAACTTGATGAATCCCAGGACTTGATCTGGGAGGATCTGTTTTGGGTACTTCAATTGCAGTCTTTTCCTTTAAACTTCAGGATGGTGTAGCTCTTAGTGTTGTAGGAGGCATGTCATGGAGTAGAAAATGGCTGTGCTTCTCTTTTAGTGCCTTCAACTTTATTCTGTATATAGGGAATCTGTGAGATTCTGTAGAGCCAACTACAAACTTGTGTGAGATACTTATGGAAGTAAGAACAAGATGTCAAATTGCATACCTTTGAATACCTGTTTTGCTTGCAGTGAGAATGGAAAGGAAAAACTATGCTTTTTAAAAATTTTTTTTTCGTTTTAGAGGTCATCATCTTCATCAATGTTTTTTTTAGCTTCCTTGAGGAATCTCTTGAGAGGGTGTGATTATTGCCTATGCTTTGGTATGTGGGGAAAAAAGACCAAGGTCGTACTCTGTCTTCTAAATGTTCAGACCAGTGTGAATAGCAGGGAACAAAATTCAGTAGGAGCCAGGCAAAGCAGGCCCTTATCTAAGCAGTGTGAATTGTCTCTCCCTTTCTTCTTGTATATAGCTCCTGCTTTCAGGTTTGAAAGAGCAGGCAAAGGGTTCTTGTAACAGATATTTTTACATCTTGATGTAAACTTCTGATTGTTACTGTTCTTTATAAGTACCTGACAATTTAAAGTACCTCGGCTTTGGTTGTCAAGTTTGCTCTCATAGGAAAAATGGAGGTGTGCTCAAAAAGCTGTCAGCGTGTTTTGTTTGTTTCTTTATTTTGCTGAATTTCTTCTCTCATCTCTAGAAGTGGCTCAAGTAGGCAAACACTCTTCAGAGAAGCACTTTATTAGAAGACTCACGACTTCTCTCAGTGGCTAGGGTGAGACATGGGAAACAGGGTTTCTGTTCAGGATGTTTGTTCCTGTTGGTTTCTGTTCAGCTTTTTGAAATTCAGTTCAGCTCTCCTCAGATCAGGCTTCATTTTATTGTTGTCTTCTAAGTTGATTACTGTATTCTTCACAGTAGGTCTTGTTCTGCCTACTATCGTATTGTCATCTGGTAAATTTAGCTTGAAAGAGGGCATTTGGGCAGTCTGTTAATAAAATTTCTTTAAATACATTCATGTTGCTCCTTGCCATTGGCAGCTGCAGGCAATGAAGAACATGCAACTGCAGTAGTTCAAAAACGATGTAGTAGCATATTCTACCTGTGACATATGACAAAAGTCCTGTCCTTTTGCAACTTTTCTTCCCTCTGAATGGAATTTTTACCTCAGTTAAAAATACAAGTAACATGGTCTTTTCCAACCTAAACGATTCTATGATCCTGTGTTCTGGAGGGTAGATGACAGTCGCATAGTGTATTGCTGAATTTGTCCTGTGGCAGAGAAACAGTATCTAATGAGTCATTACAATAATTATTGGATTATTTATCCAGTGGCATTTTCTAGTGACTTTGCTGAGGAGCGCAAAATTCATGCAGCATAGGCCCATCTCCTGAAGTATTACTGAATGTCAGCTTCAATCTTGTGCTGTCATGCTTAAGGTAAATACCACTAAAACACAAGTCCTCCACCTCTCTGCCAGTGAGTCCAACAATATTCCAAGCGTGTGCATTGTCTTAACTGAGCAGCCAGCCTTGAAGTAGGCTGCAGTTGGTGTTTTAGCAAGGCACTTGTTTCTTTATTAGTATGGGTTTTGGTTTCAAAACTCTTTTTTGAAAGGTTTGATGCAAGCACTATAGTGCTTATGTCACTGGTGGTTACATACCCTGAGAATGATGTGTCAGATCTGTATCTTCTTACTCCTTTGCACACAAAGTCAGTGTTTTCCTGGGATACGTTAAAAATTGCAATGGTCTGTTCCATGGTGCTTCTAGTCTTTTCCAAAGGAAAGAGCAGAAAGGACAGTCATAAGTATGAAATAGTTTCTGTTTGAGGAGCAACTGAGGTAGCAGTCTTTGGCTTGGAAAAGAGAGGATTTGGATGATGTAACAAAGAGTTTCAGAATTGTAAATGTCAAGGAGAGAGCAAGTAGGAATTGATTCTTCGCTGTCTTTCAATTCAAAAGCTAGGGACTGTTAAACAAAGGTAGTAGGGTCCAAGTTCAAGTAGGAATGATTATTTTGCACAAAATGGGTGGCAGACTTACGGAATTCCTTACTAAGGTTATGACCTCATGAACAAAAAGAATTCTACATAAAATCAAGGGGAGACCGGACCAGTACTTGGAACAGAGATCTAGTGAAAATCACCAGATGGACAAATCACATCAAGGTCTGGAATTCCCTGAGTTGCCATAAAGCTGGGAAGTCTGGGGTGGAGAGAAGGATGTAGGAGGGAGGGCTGTTTGCCCTGTTGTCTCTGCTACACGCTTCTACAGTCCAGTTTTGGAAACTGGATACTGAAATAGATGAACCTTGAGCTGAACCATTCTGACCATTTTTACATTTGTGCATCTCTTCCTTTATTTTAATTTGAAATTTGAACCTAAGCAGAAAGAGGTTTGAGTCTAGGTGGAAAGAGAGACATCCTCTGGATGCCTGGACCAAGCTGTTCACATAACTGCTACTGTTGGGTGAGCTGGCTGTATATGCGCACTGTCTATAATGTATTCTGGACCTAGTATGTATACTCTGACCAACCTGCATATCAGCTATATGCTTAGAAAGCTTCCTTTTTTTATTTTTTATTTTTTATTTTTTTTAAACGTGTAGATATACTGGTCAGCTAGTGTGTCCTGGATGCATCAGATGTGCTGCACAAAGTCCCGAGGCATAAGTCTGTATTGCCTTCTGTGATTTACATGGTGGAAGTTTGGGAGTCTGAAGAGGAAGAGGTCTTTGGTTTAACTTAACTGTAGTCTGATGTAGTGGGCCCATAGGGAAATGTTTCTGTTTGGGTAATGATTTGCACTGAAAGCTTAACAAAAAGCCAGTAGACTGCGAACATTCTGATTATTATTGTATATTGCAGAATTAAGTGCTATCTGATAATGGTAACTTTCTGCTGTGTTGCAGAAAGAGTTCCAAAACACATGCACATTTGATTGAAACAGTTTCTTTTCTTTTGCAGGAAAATTTTGAAGATGCCTTTGAAAACATCCCTGTGTAAGTAGACTTTTTTAAAAAATGTGTATGTTTTTCTTAAAGCTATTTATACAGCAATGAAATACTGCATGCACACCAGTCCAGGGAAGCATCATTTTATATGCACTGACCACATTCGCATTTTCCAGAATAGTTAAGGTCCCCAAGAGTTAGGAAATGGAAGTGTAATTAGGTTGATATCTGATGAAGTATTTGTCAACAAATGTGAAAGTTGTAAAGAACTAAAAATAGCAAATTCAGTAACTTCTAGTTGCACACTTATGGCTATAGACATTTCTGCATCGTTAAAAAATGATAGCTCAGCATTAGTGGAAAAACTTTATATCACACATTATGCAAGACCATCTAAGCAAGATTTTCAAAAGGAAATTGCTGTACCTCATAATGTACTGCTGCACAGATGTTTTTCCCTAATGGAGTGAGATACTGTCACTTCTTTGGCATTAGATTTCGTGCTGAAGCAACACCTTACTTAAACTGTGATGGAAACAGATGATGCTGTTCATAAGTGGGTTTAGTTTTTCTGTAGGATTTTACTGCGTTTTTCTGCCATGAAGCACATGAGAAGGAGACTTCTAGTGATATCCTTAGATTGCTAAAACACTTCCAGACCCAGGAGCAGTAGCTTGGGACTGAATTTAATTGCCAAAATTTCCATGGCCTTGGCAAATTATACTTCACAGATTTGCCAGACCCACTATGTGTATCTTACCTAGAGTGGTAAGGTCTGCTTTCTATGTAAAACTGTAGTAGAAAAATTAAATATATCACTTCCTGAAACTCAGAAGGAAGGAAATAAGAGCTTGATATATTTGTGTTGAGAACTTCTCATGTTAATGATTACTTTTTTTCCTTTGACTCCCTAGTGGTTGCTGTATGATCAGATAACTTTCTCTGGCTCTTGCTTCCCTCCGGAGAGGGAATGAAGTGGCTCTGTAGTATCTACTTTATGAGAATATTTATCCAACGCTCAGTCCTTCTATGAGGAGGTTGTTTTGTTGGTTTTGCTGGTGTTTGAGCTGGGCATGGGTGTTTATTATTGGCATGCAGAGCTTTGATTTGTTCTTCCTGATTCTCTCTTCTGTGCTCATAGCTGTCATACAGGGACTCCTTTTATACCGGTCTAGATGTTAGACTGATGCTAGTTTATTCTGCCTGGTATTGCTTCTGTCTGTAGTAACCGTTATGTAGAAGAGTAAATGTGGGATGATGGAGAGAGTATTAGGTGGGACAGAAATTGTGTTGTTACTTGGTGTCTGTAGTTGAACAGTTGTCACTGTTGTTGCTGCCCCTGTCCACTGGCCAAAAATACTGCACCTGTACTGTTATGTTGCTGCCTGATTCTGGTATATGTGTATGCAAAACCCACCTGTTTGTTCGTGTTTCACAGCCCTTAATTCAGCCTGTTTCAGTAATGTAGGATCACCCACAATTACTGTTTGGGTGGTCCTGCACAAGCCCAGGAGAAAGTACGGTGCAAGTAACTGCATTCTCTGAGCTAGTACTCACCCCGACGCTTGTCCTCATAAACTACATCCCTCTCCTTCCACCTGGCTGCATATGCATCCTCCTTCCTCCTGGATGGTCAGCAGGTAGCCTGATTTTTCAGTAGGCCAACAAAACAGAAAACTAACCATTATACTGTAATCTTTCCCTTAGTAGGTGCCCTTCAGGTATTTCTGCTCTATCTAGATATTTATTCTAACTGTCCCTTGAGTCCACTGCTTCTCTGTGAAATCTGGTTGATTGAAGCTGGCCAGTAGGTTAAAATACTAAGAGCGCGGGGACACGAGTGGACAGCCAGCATAACTGTGTATGTTGTTTCCTTTGGAAATTAGGTTTATAGAAAGGTGGTTCAGTTTGTGAGTATTTGAGCAGTAAGAGTAGGATATTCTCAGCTGGAATACTTGCTGATGAATTTGCTCTGTGTTTAGGCACAACTACTCTGCAGTTAAGGAAATTATATAGAAATGTGTGTGTTCTTTTGTACCTGGGCAGGATTCTTCACTTGATTAGACTCCATTTTCAAATTCTTCAGAAGGTACAGCTATTTTAAAAAAAGTGCCTAAGGAACTGAAAAAAAAACCTTGGGACTTTTTGTGGAAGTCTTCAATCTTATCTTCTTTGAAACTCATTGGTTGCAGTTTTTAAATTATACTGGTAGTTCGCCTGAGCGGTAGCCGTAACCAGTCTGGTACTAGATTTGGGAGTTCTTGATCTTTCCCTGTCTAGAATTAATGGCAGGTTTTTCTATTAATAATACAGTAGTAGAAATTTGGAAACATTACTACACTGAAACAATTAATTACCAGAAGTTCAACCTTTTGGGAAGCTGTAACTATTTCCATAATTTTGCTGTTGATACCATTTATCTTAAAATTTTCCTATGTATCAATGTTTCAACCTCTTACTTCAGGTAAGAAAGTAGCATCGTTACAGCTCTGTGATGTTATGCCTGCCATTGGTTTGAGTGGCTTATTGTAGTTATACCGAATTGAATTTCACTAAAATGGACCTTTTTTTTTAGAGAGAGTTGTGTCTACAAAGACTGTTGATGTTTACTCGAGAGATCAGAGCTCCTTCAGATTCTGCCAGAGGAACTTGTTGGTTTAGAGAACTGGGAAAGAACATGTGGGAACCATGTCTTCATAGTATTTCATACACCACTCTGTAATTCTTCATGTAAAGTATGTATAGAGTAACACTGCTCTGTATGTTGCTCCAGCAAATGGTTTTGCTAATCTAACTTGGCTTTAACTGGCTTTATTCCCTAAATGTTATTGCTTAACTGTAGATACCAGGTTGTGCACGTTAGATGTTAAAAGGGCCATGAGTTATCTTAATAGGGTAAAATCCTTCCCTAAATCTCTAGCGCTGGCTGTCGTATATGAGGACAGGTCCAGGAGGAAAATCAGTCTTTGCTCTGATTGTCTAAATGGATTAGACTCTTTTGTGATCTTCTGCTTGTGGTGGCTACTGTAGGTATACACAGCAACTCCAAAACAGTTTTTGTAATGAGCCCGAAATACTTGTTTTGTTGAAATGTGGAGGGACCATTAAATGGAGTTCTACCTGTAAATGCAGTTCTTCACTTACTGGTGCTAAAGCCAGGGAAAGTCTATTACAGTAGGTTAGTCTGCCATTTTGCTTAAAGCAAGCAGTAGCATGTCCCCAAGTATCTTCTCTGCCAAATAGTGTTACTAAGTTTTCAAGGTACTGATAACTTTTGATGTAGCAGTTTAACCTTATGAAGAGGATAGGTGGGATATATGTGAAAGTAAATTTGCCATTACACAGTTGTATTAACTCAGAAATGGTTTCAGACTGGCATACTCTGTTGTAAAAGGAGCTGAGTAACTGGAGACAAATGGTTCTTTCTGTTTTTCAAGCCCCCGTCAAGAAGTTTTGTGGTAGTAAGCTACTTTTTACCAAATACTTTCCCATTTTTCCACTGGAGTGTCTGCGTACTTTAAGTTTTGGGCAAATATGTTTCACAGTGGTAACCTAATGCTGTTACCTGCCAAGCACCTGCAGGTTCAAGACCATACATGGATGGAAAAGATGTAAGCTTGTCTTGTTCATTATTTAATTCTTGCTGAAAGTGCTTCATCAGTACCTGAATCTTATTGTGAAAAAACTATGAACTTTAATTTCAATCTTACTGATCAAGATAATTTTCATCTTCTATGACTTTTTTTTCCTTATATATGTCTGCTACCTTAATTTTCCCCCAAATTATTCAGAAATTTTTCTTGTGGAATGCAGAGATCCATGTTTTCTGTTGCCAGAGTATAATTTTGCAAATTATCTCTTCTTTGATTGTAGAAGAAGATGATTAAAAGAGGTTTGAGTTCTTGACAATTTTTAACGATCACCATATTATGTCTAGCATGTACTGACCTTGTCACTGCTGTTTTGATTTCTGTATGTGTTTCGTCCTCTGATGTTCTCAATTTGTTAGGAACTTGTACGGAATTTTAATTGTATTTGGATTTCCTCCCATCTCATTTTACTTACTGTTCCTTAAATCGTCATCTCTATGTGTCAGGAATAAGTTGCTATGCTTTTCTATGGAACTGGTTGGTGTGCAGGCTTCTTTGAGATGAAGGCAAGACGGTATTTTCAATTACCACCCTGTTATCAGAAGCTTGTGCAAATGCATAATAGCATTTAAAGTAGCTGTATTATGGTAGCTGCCTGGGAATGTTTATAGAAGATACTTTGTAGTTGTCTTTTGAAAGAAACATAGAAGTCTGCCTGGCTGCTTCAAATAGCTTATGTGCAGGGGGGAAGTCTTCACGTTGTGCTGTTTGTATAGAAATTTCTGACACCAGACCCTGAGTTATGGTATCAGTGGAAAGATCGTGAGATCTCATTTAAACACATTTAAAAAAATGAAATAGTGAAAAGGTGGAAGCTAGAATTCTGTGGAAAAACAGACAGATGATTTTTGATGGATAATGGTGTTCTTAGGATTTCCTATCTTTATCAATTTCAGCAGAAAGAGGCGTATTTCATTGCTGTGTTACCATTCCTCTTTTGCATTTCCTTTTCCTACCCAAAGCTGGATACTGTTAATCCTTGATCCTACCAAAGCAGCTCTGCGTGGTATTACTGGGGTGATAGATTAAGGGCCAGAAGTGTTTAAGGAAGTTAGAGCAGGTTATCCTTGTAATCTCAGAAGTGTAGTTAAGATTTCAGTTATACCTGGACATGTGTGTGTTTTGTCAGTGAATGAAACTGAACAGCTGAGGAAATGGCTCTAAATTCAAATTTTAATTCAGGGAGCCCGAAACTTTTAAGAACAGTGCTTGTCTCCCTGAGTTTGAACTCAAATTCTGACATTGTCTTAAGATGGTGAGAAACAGCTGTGACAAATGATCATCTTTTTATTTTCTTATGTTTGGTCCTCAAGGTCAAAGGGAAAAAAAAAGGTCCAGTAAAGGTGATTTTTGTATCCAGTAAATAATAATTCCATAGCTATATAAACATGACACAGT